CTTAAAATGGAGTGAATGTGTGCAAAATAAATTACCTTTAATGTATCTAATGGGATAAAATGCTTTATGTTTCTCAACGCATAACATGACCTTGCAATTTTATTGATAACATAGTTAATATGCTGTTTCCATGTGATGGTATCATCAATAATTAGTCCTAGAAATTTAGTTTCTTTCACCTTTGGTAATTTTATTTCATCATCTATGGTCATTGGGGTAATATTATAACAATTCTTGGAACGAAATTCAATATATTGAGATTTTTTAAAATTTAAAGCAAGTAAATTAGCATTAAACCATGTGTCAATATCTTTTAAAGTTTGTTTGAGATTAATTTCAAGTTCTAATTTATTTACGTCAGTTATTATAATACTTGTGTCATCTGCAAAAAGTACTGTTTTATTTTTCTTATTGCTTATTGAAGGTAAGTCATTAATGTAAAACAGAAAAAATAGTGGGCCAAGGATTGATCCCTGAGGTACACCACATTTGATTACCTCCCATTCGGAAAAGCTTCTACTGTCGAATTTGTTTCCTATTACAACTCTTTGGTATCTATCCACTAAATATGATTCTATAAGTGACTTAAATTTCCCTTCTATTCCATAAAATATTAACTTTTCTAGTAATATTTTGTGGTTGACACAGTCAAATGCTTTCTGTAGATCACAGAATAAGCCTCCTACCATTAACTTATTATTCATTGCAGATAGGATACTGTTCATGAAATAATAGTTATGGTTTTGGGGCTTTTATTTGGAATCCGAGGCTGCCCTTTGCCTGAGTTCAGATAATGAATGAATGCATTAGGGGTAGATCTAAACTGGCCCTTGCACCATTCTCTTCAATGATCTATTGGGCATCCTTTTCTATTTCAACCCTTCAGCAATCCTGCACTTCAAATGAAGTCACCTGACTCCATAAAGTAATGACCCAGGTGACAAAATCTTACGTAAGCTATAGCCTCACAGTCACATAGGATGTGTGTGGTTGATTCATCTTTTTCCAGGCACCTTTCACAACTGGGACTATTTGTAAATACCATCTGAGTGTGGGGAAACTCAGCTGTTTTACATGCAGGAGGGGACCCTTAAATTAGTAGGTGTGGAAATGAACAGTATGACACAAGGCGATGGCAGATGTAAACTGCATACAATGTCACAGATACTCCAAGCTATTTACACAAACAATATAGTACTTCTGAAATAGTCCAATGGGTTTAGACCTATGTCCAGAAAATCAGAGCATTCCTAAAATACGCTCAATGATGTTCTCAACATTCATATTAGGGCATTCATATTGAGTATGAAAACTAATCAATCTACATCTCATTTTCTTAAGGTATGTCATCAGAATATAAGAGGATTATCTGATAAAACCGAACAACTGTTAAATTCCTTATTACCTGACCCCCCCATATAATATGTTTGACTGAACACCATTTAAAGAATACGAAATAAATAAAATATGTGTAGATAATTATGTATTAGGGGCCAATTATTGTAGATCAACATACAAAAATGGGGGTGTATGTATATATATTTATAACTCAATTAAATTTGATTCTCTATCTGTGTCTAACTACTGTGTGGAAAGGGACATCGAAGCCTGTGCAATCAAATTAAACCTGACTAATATCACATTGATCATATTAGCTATTTATAGGTCACCTAGTGGAAACTTTAACAATTTTTGCAAAAATTGGATGCCATCTTGAATAAGCTACATAATAATAAAGTCAAATATGTTATATGTGGTGATGTGAATATAAATTATCTAGAAAATTGCGATAGAAGGCAACAACTTGATGCACTCTTAAATACTTACAATCTAATAGGTACGGTCAATTTTTCAACACAAATTGTTAAGGTATTAAAAACTGCTATTGACAGCATATGACTAGAAATTATACAATTAAACCAATAATTAATGGACTATCTGATCATGATGCTCAAATGATGATAATTGATAATATAATATCATCCGAACAAGTAGGTAATCCTCAGTACATGAGAAATTATAGTAATTATAATATAATTAAATTTCAAGAAATGCTAAGCTATGAACTATGGGATGATGTTTTTACAAATGACAATGTAAACAATACTTTTAATGTATTTCTTAATACTTACTTAAGAATTTTTTACTCATGTTTTACAAAAAAGAAAATTATTACTTCCAAACTTAAATGTAACCCGTGGATGACTCAAGGGATACGAATTTCTTGTGAAAAAAAGAGGAAGTTGTATATTAAATATAGACAAGATGATGATCCACATTTTAAACTGTATTATAAGAAATACTGTAAAGTACTTACTAAAGTTATTAAAGAGGCTAAGAAAGTACACTATGATAATAAAATTTCAAAATCTTATAATAAAATAAAAACTACATGGTCAATTATTAAAAAAGAGACTGGATCTAAAACTCAGAAGGATGAACCCCAATCGCTGAAAGTCAATAACATTATGATACAGAATAAAAAGTGCACTGCAAACGTACTTAACGAATATTTTACCTCAGTAGCTCAGACAATTATAGATGATTTAAACAATAACAAAACTCCAACCAACATCAGCCCATTATACTATCTGGGCAATAAATACACGTCTACCTTTAAATCTATCAAATGGCAGTATGTCTCAACTGCTGAGATTAGAAAGATAATCAAATCTTTGAAAACCAAGTCTTCACATGGTTATGATGAAATTTCCACTAGAATTTTAAAAGCAAGTATGCCATATATAACTTCGCCACTAACTTACATTTGTAACCAATCCCTTGCCCAGGGAACGTTTCCAGACAGAATGAAATTTGCTGTCGTTAAGCCAATTTTCAAAAGTGGTAATAAATATGAACCAGCCAACTATAGGCCTATTTCATTATTGTCAGCCTTTTCTAAGGTTCTTGAAAGGGTTATCTATAACAAATTGTATGAACATATAGACAATAATCTTATATTGGACAATAATCAATATGGTTTTAGACCTAATTCATCTACAGAGAAAGCATCTTTCAAATTAATAGAGGAAATACTAAAAGCAATGAATAATAGACAGTTTGTTGGAGGAATATTTTGCGACTTACACAAAGCCTTTGATTGCATCAATCACAAAATACTTATCAAAAAATTAGAGTTTTATGGAATAACTGGCAAATTTGGTGCCTTAATTAAATCTTACCTGAATGGAAGATATCAAAGAGTAACCCTTGGCCCTAACAGTTCTATTAATAGCTCGTCTAGTTGGGCAGAAGTAAAATTTGGTGTACCCCAAGGTTCAATTCTTGGCCCACTTATTTTCCTCTTGTATATAAATGACATAACTAAGGTTTCAATTAATGGAACAAACATATTCTTATATGCAGATGATACAAGTATAATTGTGACTAATCCGGAATACGCTGACTACAAATCAGCCATGACCAGAATATTTTACAATATTAATACATGGTTCAGAACCAATCTGCTAAAATTAAATATTCATAAAACCCACACTCTCCATTTCACTTTAATGAACTATGAGGATCATAATATGCATAATAATATTGATCAAAATTTACCAACTAACTTAGAGTGTATTAAATTTTTAGGCCTAAATATTGATAATAGGCTGTGTTGGAAGTATCATATTGATTACCTGGTTACAAAATTGAGTTCGTCTTGCTTTCTCATGAGATCAGTTAAGCCTATGATATCATTAAGTAGCTTAAGAATGATTTATTTTGCTTATATACATTCTGTGATGACATATGGAAGTATCTTCTGGGGCAATTCTTCATACATGATGAAACATTTTATGATCCAAAAGAAAATTATAAGGATTATGATGGGATTAAAGAAAAGAGATTCATGTAGAGACTCTTTCAAGGAAATGAAAATTCTGCCTTTGTGTTCGCAATACATATATTCCTTAATGCAACACACTACAAATAACATGCATTTGTTCACAAGAAATACGGAGGTTCATAATATTGGTACCAGACAAAATGTTAACCTATTTCCCCCGAGTACTTCTCTTACTAAAGTTCAAAAGGGTCCATATTATTCTGGTATAAAAATCTACAATCATCTGCCTAAAGAGCTGAAACAATTATCTAATAACCAGAAATCCTTTGAACGTTCCCTAAAAAGATTTTTACATGCTAACTCTTTTTATACATTAAATGAGTATTTTAATTACAAAGGAACATAAATTTGAATGCTTAACGCCACATTTTAATATAGTTGGTAAGGGAGATGTGAGGAGTTGTATTGTGGTTATTTGTGACTTATGTTTGTTTAATCTTTTTGCCTTGTATTGTTGTATGTGCTGGATAATTAATGTGGGTGATCTTCGCGGTGTGACTTGTGTGACTTTGTGTTGTGTTTGATGACTAATTCCACATCCTGGGTTTGTTCCCTGTATGGATGTTTATGGAAAGTGGAGGATGTGTATGTATGTATATGACAAGTCCTGTATCAATGTATTTTGATTTATGGGAAAATTGTATTAATTTTAAGTTTTTATAGTAATGCATTTTTTAAATTATGTTTAGTTACAATTGTAATAAGCTCTTGTTTTGTTTTTTTATATTACCTATGTTAGTTAACTGGTGTGTGCTATTTTAGTTGTGTGACTTATGTAATCTATTACATGTATACATCTATAATCAAGTGGACTATTTCCACATCCTAGGATTTTTGCCTGTATGGATATATGGAAAATAAAGAAATGAATGAATGAATGAATGTACATCCAATAGGCCATCATGAGTTTCTCTACAATGTACCTATCAGACAGATATGAAAACATTTTGGTCTGATGTTTTATAGTTTTGATACTGAAAGTGTGATAACCCACCAAAAAAAAAGTGCTTTGAAAAAAAATTATTGCTACCAAATAACTGAAGTAAATTCCATATGTGGACATAATTTACTTTAAATAAATACATATTCAACACTGTATATTAACATATAATAAGACATCTAAAACACAATTTACTGCCAAAATAAACTAATAAAAAAGAAAATTTTAATTAATTTACATCATACATTCTTACCAGCCATAAACACAACATAAAAACCATGTCAAATAATCAACGTGCACATTAACAGAATACACAATGATACAAAATTAAACTAAACAGGTTTGTATAACAGTTATGCTCTGGACTTGTATTTAGAAGGCCCTCAGTTTGAAACTCAGCCTGATCACATGCTGCCTTGACTGAGGTTTTCTCTGGTTTAATTCAGTATCTCACTTCCTTTGAAATCCTTTCTGCTTCATCAGTCATCATACCATCTAATGTTACAAACTCTCAATGCTGAAAGTGTCATTAAATAACCCACGCAGACAAATACCAAAAGTTATAAATTAAGATTATAATTTTCAACTAATACAAAAATTCAAATTTTGATCATTCTGAGTATCCAAGTAATCTTGTTCCCTGCATGTCAAGAAACATACATCATACAATAACATCATCCCTCCTCAAATCATACATAACCCTTTCTTTATTTCCAATATTTGATCATCACCCACTCTTATCTAACTTGTGTAACTTAAATACAGGCAATAAAACTCTACTATCCATTACACATTTCAAACACAGTGCTTCATTTTGTAGAACACTGGAGAACATCATAAATGATATGTCATGTGCAAAACAAATTATAATGAAACCAATGAATGTTTAGCTTGATATAATTATAAAGTCTAAGAGTTCTGAATTTTCTTAAAAGTACCAAGTAGACAATCTTCATAACTAACAATTAATTTATTACATAACAGGAGGCTGAACTGCCATCATTCAGAGCTTACATATCATAATAATAAAATCAACCTGTCATATCTGGTCCATCGTAGGTCTTAAAAGTTTGCAACACTGAAAGAGGAAAATGTGACCCTGTTCAATATGGCAGACTGTCATATTAAGATGTCCTAAATCACTTTATAAATATGGTCAGGTAATGGTAATGTTGAAACTGTGCTTAATTAACTAAGAACCATACCATATAGACATATGGGGGAGTGGAGGTATAGCTCCACCATTCTTGACCTTGAATCCATATGTAGATGAGTGGTTAGCTTCATGCTCCAGCTTCTTTACCACTGTGGATGCAGCCCCCAGTACCCATTGAACAGGAGGGTGGGTGGGCCCTGGCCCAGAGCCAGTCTGGATGGTGTAGAGTAAAGAAAAATCTCTTTCCCCTGCCAGGAATTGAACCATGGCTGTCCAGCCTATAGCACATCACTATACTGATTGAGCTATCCCAAATCTTAATAAATCAGTATATGCACAATACCTGTATCACTGATGCTGTCAATAAAACTACTAGTAACAGCAGCAGCAGAAAAAACATCAGTAAGCTACTATCACATTGAAATTTGAGACCCATTACTACACTCTTTCAGAATAACTTGAATGTACTAGCAAGAATACTTACTATGTACTTATACTAATTTTTCTAATAAGTACACACATGTGTAATTAACATACTGCAACTTTTTTTCTTCAGGAAAATGTTGTGCTACTTTTATAAATCTTCATTCATGAGATTCCAGATACCATGAGCTTCAAGCAAATCCATGTGCAATTAATAATTGGTACTTACACAAAGCAGGGGTGTGCTGAGTATGGGTCTATTACAAGCATATGCTATGATCTTTTATGATATAACTCACAGAATTTTCTTTACACAAGAATTACTTTACTTTTCTCAGAAGTTCTTTTCCTTTTACCACCTCAATTATGGATCTGTTTGTTATTAATTCACATAATTAGTGATAGTTTATCCTTCAATAAAATTGCTTCATTTTAGCTAAATTTAACTTTATCTAACATTTGCTTATTTCTTTCAGCTCAATGTATTTCTACAAAAAAAAAAAAATTTTAGCTACAGCATAACTAATTATAATCATAAGAATAAATACAATAACTTAATACATACAAATCAGTGAAAACCCTATTTAATGTTTGTCTAGAGGACAACCTTTCCATACCTTAAATGGGGGTTTTGGAAAAGAAGCCTAAAATGACTAACTTCTTTAAATCAATGACAAGGCACTACACCTTGTACACTAAAAGTAACCAGTATCAGAAATGACACAGATATATGCAAAAGACACATGAAAGTTTGCTTGTTACAACACTAATTTCACATATAACAATATCACATAACATATAACAATATCCCAGTGCTTAGCTAATTAAAACTGTCCCTCTATGCAACTCATGCCATTATGGCATGTAGAGGAGCAGAGGTATAGTTCCATATATTCTTAATCTCAACACTAGATGGAGATGAGTGGTCAGCTTCAAGCCCTGACTACTTTAACTCCAGTACCCACTGGATATGAGGCTGCTTGGGCCTCAGAACTTGTCTGAACAATGAGGGAAAGAAAATCTCTTGCCCTTTCCTGGAATAGAACCCCAAATCCTTGGCCATCCAGCCCATGGCCTAGTTGAGTTACCTTTAAGTAGCGTCCATTGTTCGTCTTCTGTCAAATTTTGACAGAAGATAAACAATGGACGCTAATTTGAACAATTGCAACAGGATGCTGAAATACAGAATACCTTTAAGTACTTGGCTTTAAGTATATTCTCAGAACCCCTCTTTCTGAATGCCAAAGGTAAAGAAAAAGTAAAACTGTCTGTGTTAAGTAATTAAGCACTATGCCATGAAGGTATATGGGGGAATGGATGTATAGATCCACATTTTCTTGACCTTCGTGCTAGTTGGAGGGGAGTGGTCAGCTTCACCCCCCCCCCCCCCCCCCCCAACACACCCCCAAGCACCCCCAGTGTGTGTTGGCGGTGGCGCTGGGGNGGAAAGAGCCCTCAGTACCCATTGTATACGAGGCTGGGTGGGCCCCAGAGCTGGAAGACATGGACAAGAGAAAATTCTTGACCCTACCAGGACTTGATCTCTGACCCTGTGGTCATCCAGCCTGCAGCTAGTCACTATACTGACTAAATTTGTGTAAGTGCACACACATATGCACATTTACAATGTTGCTATTCTTGAATTATCACATGTCCATATTAAGTTTCCAAACAGATCCTAACCCTTTACTTAAAAGCAAGTAACACGGTTTTGTACAGATCAAACTATATGGTGCCACATATTGCAACACTTGATACTTTCTGTGTGAACAGACTGCACCACTATAAAATACCAATTCCCACCAACAGTTCCAAAAATATCCTGATGTACAAATAACCTCCTCACATCTCATTTCACACAAAGACAATAGTTCAGACAAACTAGATCAAAATTACTTCTGTAGTAACAAGTCATACAAATCTACTGTTATATGCTCTAATGCCGATGTCTGATATGCTAAGCAGGCTTATCAAGTCTGATCACTCTCTAATCTATGTGCTAACAGAGGCATAAACCAATCATATACTATTCAAAACTGTAACAACTGAAATCTTACAAACAGATGCCTCCAACAATATCAACTATTAACGTTTTTATTAAACTAATGTAATGTGTGTAACAGTTACCATGCAGATCTTTTGCTGGCTTCAGTGCAAACATATTAAAATTTCTTAAGTTTGAGATTCAGATGTCACTATTTCCTTTGGCAACCACAGCTTCTGCTTGTGCATATCCTTGCTGCAAAGTGTGTAGACAGCTATGCATCCAAACACAACACCAAGAACCAAAAAATAACCACCATACACCAGAAACTGCAATGTACAATTAACCATTAGTTTGCACTCAGGAATAAGCCAGCATAACTGAATGTTTATAAATATCACAAACATTCAAACATGGAGCAAAAGAAATACTCTGAAGAAGCTGAAGGTTTAACACTGCTGATATAAAAAAGACTGACAACCAAGACCTTCAGTCAGTTCCATTCACCTCCCATCCCAAAAACTAGTTCTACAAGATCCATCCTAATGTTATCCTTCATCTCCTTCTCCTAAGCAGCCATTTTTTGGATATTTCATAACAAAAATCCTACATAAATTCTTTGTCTCTCCATCTTAAGGATACAGCCAGTCTATCACAGCATGCTAGATTTCATAAATCTAAAAATGCAGAAATACAATAACAAATGGACCCAATTACTTCTCTACATAAAACCTTCGAAACATAACCTACAGATATTCAGATAAACAGCTCCTAAAACATATGGTTGGCTTCTGCCTAAGGTGGGTCGAGTTCATGAACTGGTGAGTGGACATTCACTATAATCACTTACAAGGGTTGGATAAAATGTAGTAGCAACACTACTGTAACATGAAAGATGTGTGTCAGGTGGCACTAGCGCTGTCTGTAACTGATAGCAGAAGTTCAGTTGAAGTAGTGCAGTGAGTGGTTCTGGTCGTGTTTCATTGAGTTGCATTGTGCATCATCTTGAGGTGGAGGAGCCCAGTTCAAGTGCCCTAAGAACATGTTTATGAAACAAGAACAATGCTCCTGGATAAAAACTGAATTTGCATGAGGTTGTAATGCACGAAATTGTTATCAGGGACTGCAAAAAGCATGTGGTGATGCTGCTTTGCCATATCGCACAGTGGCACAATGGGTGAAATTGTTCCATGAAGGGAGGGATGCCATTCAGGACAGCCATTGTTGAGGATGACCCCATGTTGACAACCACACAGTTCAGCTTCTTGCTTCTTTGCTGGATGTCGATCATCGATGGGCTGCGGGGGAGTTAGCTGCTGAGGTAGGTGTATGTAACAAAACCATGCTCCACATTCTGCAGGATATTCTTGGATACCGCAAAACTGCAGCACGTTGGGTACCCCTTACAATGTCCGAGGTGCAACAATGGCAACGTTATGCAATTGCACAGAACTTGTTGGACCAGTACCAGAAGGAAGGTGATGACTTCCTTGGCAAGATCATCACTCTGGACGAAACTTGGGCTTGCTCATACGAACTGCACTTGAAGTGACAATCAAATGAATGGAAGCATCCTGGCTCTCCTCGTTCAAAGAAAGTGCGCCCTACATAGAGTAATGTGAAGGCAATGTTCATTGTGGCATATGACACTGATGGAGTGATATGGCACCACGCTGTACCTCAACGACAGACAGTAAACGCTGCCTACTACTGCAATTTTCTGCGTAATCATCTTTGCCCAGCACTCAGGAGAAAGCGACAACACTTGTTAGCAACAAACCCCATCATCCTTCATGACAATGCAAGGGCTATTACTGCTGATGCTGTCAAGGATCTCCTTTGCCGCCGGCGATGGGAGATACTGCAACATCTGCGATGCTCACCCAATATGAGTCCCTGTGTTTACCTCAGGAAATGAAGTCATTTCAGAACTAAAGAGGCATTGCCACTACTTTTTATTCGACCTATGTATATTAGCAGACTCCATTTCAGGCTGCAAGGAAACTGCTTAACAGAAATGTTATACTAAAAAGAGATTTAAAAGAATATTCACTGCCAGCATAAACCTGGTGGTAAAGACTTTCTAATAAATTTCATAAGAACTGCTGCTTCAGGTCCAAAACCATTTGAAAGGAAGACAGGAATGAAGACAGATAAGATTTCTCTCTAAACTTTTATACCTTTAAGAAAATGAGAGTAATGTTAAAGCACCTCCACTTACCTGCAAGTGTATCTCCAATGCCATTCCTGTATCACTGACAACAATGAGTGTCAAGACAGACTGTAGTGCCAGAGCCATGAAAGTATTCACACCAAAGATAAGGCCATAGCTGTCTTCACCTATGTTTTTTGCAACTTCAGCACTGTTGATAAAGTTTGCAAACAGGTTGAGAATGTTCAAAGAATCACAAAAACAACTGAACAAAGCCACATTAGCAAGTGTATAAAGATGAGCCCTGTGGCAATCCTACTGTGATGCCTAACAGCAGGAACAATGATATATTCACATATTATTTCACAATTAAAAATTCTATATACCCTAGTATATTGCTGGTTCAGAAACTCCCAAATGTTGTGAAATCTTGCCATTTCCTCTTGTTAAATCTCTGTCCATAAGCTAACCCCTTGAAGCCCAAACATAATGTCACAGGTTAGTGACTACACACTGGGTTCAGACTGACTTCCGAATTTGTTGGATACTTATTATTCTTAACTACAAATAATTGCACTTTTATTACTCTTTGCAATCTGCAAACATCTACAGCACTTTTCAAGTGGTTCCCGTCTGCTATATCTTCACGCACTCATTGCTTGGTTACAATGACCAATAATGGGGACTCTCCTTACTGTTTCCTTGTTTGACAGCTCTGACTTTGGGTCTTGCTTGTTCTCTTCATACAGTTTTGTCACAGATAGATTACTCATATAAGACACTAACTCCAACAGTTTCTCTACTGTTGAGTGCATTTCCATTGCAACACCTCTGTGTCACTTCTCTGAATCCAAATTTTGTATTCTAGGCATCATGTCATGATAAGTTAAATAAACAATGTTTAATACATTGAAGAAAGCAGTCTTCTGGGATTTGGCACCGTGTATATGTGGTGTTAACCGACGTTTCGGAGGAACGTATCGCCCCCATCTTCAGGGTAGAAGAAAAAGTATAAGAATTCTGCAAGCGACAACACCGGAAGAAACGGTCAAGCAGACTGTCTGCTTGACCGTTTCTCACGGTGTTGTCGCTTGCAGAATTCTTATACTTTTTCTTCTACCCTGAAGATGGGGGCGATACGTTCCTCCGAAACGTCGGTTAACACCACATATACACGGTGCCAAATCCCAGAAGACTGCTTTCTTCATAGTCACCGCAGTGAAAGCCTCAAATCTTACAATGTTTAATACATTAGTTTCTACTTTTGGTAATGGCTACAAGTACACGAATGTGAACAGACTGTGCTTGGATGTGATCTTGATCTGAAGTATTGAAATTTTATGCTGCTTTGGCAAGTCCAAAAATATACACTACAACCTGTATATAACAAAACACAAGGGATCCAAATTTGTTTACTCTTAAGTACATCCCTTTTTAAAAAGAATACTGCTGAGACGTTCTAATTAAGTTTATTTTTACTGCCTGAGGTTGAAACTTATTACATGAGAATAAAATTATAAAAGTGAATTTATGCTGTAAATGATGGAATTCTTAGTTTTTGTTTCTAACAGAGGTGCTTTTTCAGCATGTTCCATGCTGTTACAGTATCAACTAACAGACTTCTATTTAATTACTAAACCACATTTCATAAATTACATAGGTTAGACAGCACCCAACAATAGCTTCTTATATTTGTTACTAATGACACTGCCAGTATCAAGGCTATAGAGTTGATGACATGATGATTAATGAACATGGAGCAGTTTGTGGAATTAAAGTTGGCAGGGGAAACTGAAGTACTTGGAGACAACCCATCCCAATGCTACTTTGCCCATCATAAATCAAACAACCTGACCTGGGATCAAACTAGGGCCACTGTCTTGGGAAGCCAGAAACTAATAGAAGATAGTGCCCAAAACTTTTTAACACTTCTCATAGACAGGTATCACTTTAAAGTGATCTTTCAATTAAATTAACATTATTTTAAACATTTTTTATGAAGGTAATTTGTTTATTACAGAATTAAATTAAATAAAAATTCAAATGAGTAAATAAGAATGTAGCCACATATGATGTCTGCATAGTTCCTTCATTTAACAGCTATTTAAAATTTACAGATTATTGTGACACTCTGTAGGAAGGTCATATATGTGTCTTCCAAACTTTACTCAAAAAGTATATTGAACTTGCCTGACAAACTTGATGAAGAAGAAACACTTGCATTACACAATGTGTGATCCTGAAATCTCTTAAAATGACAAGAGCTATTCTGTCAAAATAGATCCCACTTTAATTAAAACTGACATAATATTATGCAGTCCACATGTCAAACCAATCGTTCCTCCCATATACTGACTGCACATGACTGCAGCTTCATTTTCATGTACCAACCAAATATAATTATTGATTTTAACTTTCTGTCAATCCAAAGGAGTTACTTAACTTCAGGTCATGAACTGAGATTTAAAATTTTAGAAAATGCTTAAAACTTACTTGGCAACAGTAATCATAGTATGGTAGATGACTCCAAACAAGACATATAGAATATATGCCACTGCCAAGGACTTTGTAGTTGCCGACAATATGAGCAATATCCCTTCTATGATTGAGCACAGTGCTAAGGCAGCCTCACCCAAAATTTGCCAGTTGAAGCGTAACCAACCAAGCCCCAGAGATGTTGCCGCTCCTGTATAAGCAAAACCATTTAACATAAAGTGAGAAGGTAAGTTCCTTTCTCACCAGAATGTGGTATAAGAATAAACAGACTGGATTTCATATATTACATGAGAAACAGTTTAAAGAATTGTATGCATGTGTAAATTAGATGAGAAAGGGGGCGATGTTTACTTACCAAAAAGAGGGGCCCACAGAAGTATTAATGAAAGAATATAAAATACGGGGTCTGGAGCACGAACTTTCTTAAAGATGAAGCAATGATATAGTAAAGTGTTTTTAATATACCTAAATTACCATATTTTCAAGACCATAAGATGTGCATAGACTTCAAAGGGGAAATTTGGGGGGGTGGGGGGTTCATTGCACATACTTGAAAGCCAAATTCACAATTACTTACTAAACACCACTGCTGCACAAAATCTGTAATGGTCATAGATCCCCCACCCAAAAAAAAAATTCTGCACTACTGCCAAATTCATCACTAATGTTATTACTGTTGGGACTTTCAATTTTATCATAGAGTGTCATCTTCATTTCCATCAAGGACACTGCTGACACTACTATTCTTGAAAGACCTCATAACTATCTTATGCTTCACAGACTCCCATAAATTTTTGACCCATTCCCAACTATGTGATATGGTTGGCAACTTCATTGGACCAACTGGCGTCAAATTACCATCTAACACCTACATCCATTTGGTCCACTCTTTGTGCATGAGTGCTTTAATTGCTTCCTTAATCACAATGATCAATGACTACAATTGGCTAGTAAGGCCTCCTAGAATTACAGCTAACTGCAAGGTCCAGAAAGTATGGCAAGTGGCGGGGTGGTAGTGACGCCATCCTCGGTGAGGTTGGCCGAACCACGGCCTTGTCTTTGGTGGGGACGTATCACAGACCAGGGATGTGTTGGGACACAGCTTTGGAACACCTCCTCGTGGTCCTGCCGGGCAACGAGTCTTGGGGGTCTGGATCAGTATGAACTTCAGGAACTGGCAACTGAGTTTCCATAAAGGGCGATGGCTATATGACTGGAGCCTCCCATGCGGCAGCATAATGACCCTTGGGTGTCACTACGGTGTACCCAGGACGAATGCGGGGGAGCACTCCTATAGGGGTAGCTATGGCTATTTGAGTTGCCTCCCTAGAGTACCGACAAGGTGCCGCAAGCCTTAGGGCTCAACACTCTAAAATGGTTTGACCAACCCATGTGGAAGGGTGGGAATGGGGGAGCTCAGAAGCAACCCCCAGGGGTGATAATCTTGTGTAGGATGCCCTGGTCGCAGCCTCATGACTAACTGGTATCGCACTCCCATTTATCATCTGGGATA